ATATAATATTAAATCAAATCTTATATGTATGTGTGTCCTTGACATAGCGCTAAAACGATGCATAATAACGCAAGCAATTTAGAGCCATATTGTACCTTGAACCCCTGCTGAGTGCAATGCCAGATTAGACATGGGATTCTTCAGCTAGGTCCGTGTTTCTCTTTTTACGGCATTTTTAATAGGTAATTCAGTATTTGTTTCAATACAAATTCTTACATCAATTTGTATCAATAAACAAATATAATTCACTAGACTATATTAGAACATTTTTAATAAACAACAATTTGAGACATAAAGACGCTATATGCGTCACGTGACTTGATAGTAAATAAGTAAATAGATTGCGTGCTGATTTACTGATGTTGCGTATTTTGAATTAAATGCCAGGAAGAAACAAGTATGTATAATATATATATATATATATATATATATATATATATATATATATGTGTGTGTGTGTGTGTGTGAAAAGTGTATATGAATATAAATAAATATAAGTATGTATAATTATTTATATATTATATGCGCGGTACTTATTAGAAAGCGCTAAATTTTTTAAAACATTAATCAGTTTGTCTGACGATCGCTAAAGCGTGAAACCCAGGGTCACAAACTCACATCTATCAACCAAATAATATATAAATATATATATATATATATATATATATATATATATATATATATATATATATATAGTATATTACAATATATATATATATATATATATATATATATATATATATATATATATATATATATATATATATATATTACACCTGTTGTAAGCTATTACTCAATTTTCCTCCAATATCTTAACCATGATGCCCAGTGGAACAATAAACCTTCTTTTACCATCTTTAAGAACAAATTACAATGTGTAATGTAATATTCATATAATAAATATGTCACTGTGTCACACTTTTTCAACTTTACTCCTAGAAGCCATAGCCCAACATATATCATTTTGAAAAATCAGGCCGACTCCATGAACAAATTAAAAATATTACAGGCCAGATGCGAACCCGCAATAGTGAAATTTTGTTTTCGTTTTCCTTACATCCATTAAACATGGCAGGTGGAACTAGAACAGTCTACCCCAGTGAGCGAAATAAAGGGTTCAGTTCGACATTACAACTACCTGAAGAAGGCCAGAGCGTACAACGTCCGAAACGTTGTAATAAGTATGGCAACAAAGTCCGAATAATGTAAATAGTGTATCTTTAGACCAAGTGAAGCGTGAAACTGGCACTCACTTTACAGTGTTGATTCTTATGGCCACAATCTATCTATCTATCTATCTATCTATCTATTTAGATTTGTTCGATTAGTGGAATATCAACATCCTTATGGGTCATTTAACGCCAAAATTTTGGCAGCTTTGAAGTAATAGGATATATGTTATTCTACATTCACAGTTGAATATATGGTAGATAATACTCAGCTTTTGTGCATATACATGTTTTTAAGAACATAATTACTAGAGTGTGTTTTATGTTTTATGTTATAATTCTGTTGAAGTTCTATTTTGGAATACAGTTTAATTTCTTTAAGAACTTGTAGAAATATTATTTGAATTAATGTCAGGAATGAGTTCTTTCAATTTGGTTGTTTGGTTGATTTTGTTTAGCAACATATCAACACCTCTGTGGGTCGTTTAATGCTGAAATCTAAACATTTTGAACACAATTTTATGGCTTCGACTAAATATATTTTGAAGGTAATTGTATGCCGTCAACTACAGATAAAATGGGTTGGTCATTCTACAATAAAATATTTCCTGGTCATTTTCTATAAAATGCACTGTTCATAATTCTGTGCATAATTCTATGCTTCTCATTTTTTCTATATAATGCATTCTTGGTAATTCTACTATAAAATGTATTGTTGGCCAATTTGCTATAAATATGAATTTTTTTTTTATTTTTTTAAATTTTTTATTCATTCATACACTATTTGTCCATAGCTGAGACCCTAACATGTGATACGATCCTGGGTCAGGGTAGACCTGGGAACAACAGCAATTAAGAGGTGCTTTCATGATCCACAAAACCTCCACTATCAGTGGCCTTGCTATCGGATGTAGCCATATGGCGGACTATTTTTATCTATATATTCTGGTTTGTTATCTATCTATCTATCTATCTATCTATCTATCTATCTATCTATCTATCTATCTATCTATCCTATTCTCTGCTCATATCTATCTATCTATCTATCTATCTATCTATCTATCTATCTCCAGGTGATAGTATTTCCCGGTATTTGAAATCGGCACGCTGATCCCACTGTCCACGCTGATAGCCGTTGTGCTACACACAAATTCACAATAATCTGCTAATGTATTGAGTTCGAAGTACATTGAGAACTCCACTTCTGTTGCCTTGTGTCAGATTTAGATATAGTTAATATGAGTTACGTCCATGAGTCATGTAAAAACACGAGTGCGTAAAAACATCTGGTATTACGAATTCACTATTTTCTTTCTTTCTTTCTTTCTTTCTTTCTTTTTTCTTTCTTTTTTCTTTCTTTCTTTCATTCTTTCTTTTCTTTCAATCTTTCTTTCTTTTTTCTTTCTTTTTTCTTTCTTTTCGTTCACTATTTGCTTTTACTTTTTCTTTTAAGCTTCTTCATTATTCACTTCCTCTGTTTTTCATGATTTGCTTGTTTTTATTCTTTCTTTCTTTCTTTCTTTTCCTCTGCTCTGATAAACTTGTCGATTTCTGGCCGTTCGGGGTACCAAATCCCAGCAGCAGGTGCGCACTTCTCTCGCGCTTGGCGGGCACCAATTTGGCTCGTGCCTCACCCATTCCTGTGGAAACCCGAACCAAGTTTTATGGTGCTTATCTAGTGTGACAAAACTCTCAACCCCCGCAGTCCCCGTTACGCCCCCCCCAGGCTTGCTGCCAGGGTATGGTGACGATTTCTTTTTATCTACCCAAATTTCTGCCAAAGTTTTAATGAAGCAGGGTAGATGGGATTCAGTTTGTGCGGATGGGGGGGTATTGACGCCCACCCCTCGAAAATCACAATTCTTTTAACTGTCGAACTGGAAAAGGCCAATCGAGTGATATATTGAGAGAAAGAAAGAGATGGACAATGTGAGGAAGAAAGAAAAAAGCGAAAGAAAGAGAAGGTTTAAAGAGAGTGAGTGAGAGAGAGAGAGAGAGAAGCAGTAAGAGTGAGAGAGAAGTGGGAATAGTGAAATAGGAAGAGAGAGAGAAACTAACTTAAAGAGAGATTTATAAAAATAAATGTTATGAAAAGACATCAAACGAAAGAGAGGCGAGAGAGAGCGTAGGGGGAGAAGGAGATATAGATAGAGAGAGAGGGGGGCGGAAGAGAAATATAGATAGATAGAGCGGCATCAATAGGTACAGGAGAGGAGAGAGAAATATAGAGATAGAGAGAGGCGGAAGAAATATATATATATATATATATATATATATATATATATATATATATATATATATATATATAATACAGTGCTGTTCGATAAAAGTGACTCACCTGATTTTTTTTACTAAATATTCTCTTCTCCGATGAAACGAAAGTTGAGCTACATTCAAAGGATAAGCGATCCAAAATCCAAAAGTAGATGCTTTGAAAGCTCTTTGAATTTAGCAGTAAGTACTTTCAAGCATCAGTTCAGTATAATGTTCTGGGGATGCTTTTCTTTTCATGGAACTGGTTTCTTAAAACCTATTGAAAAAAAGACCCTCAGGAGCGAGCAGTCCAAGAGAATTTTAGAGTCTTGTCTGCTCCCTTCTGCTGAAAGGGTGTAAATCGATTCCACCAAGCTCATTTTTATGCAGGATAATGCTCCCTGTCACAAATCAAAATTAATGAAGGAATACTTTGATGAGAAGCAGGTGAGTGTTATGACATGGGCGCCCCAATCTCCTGACCTCAATCCCATAGAAAACTTATGGAGTATGTTGCTCAACTGCTTTCTCAACTTTATAAGCCTGTGAGGTCAAGATTGTGGCAACCATGTCATATAATTCTCATAAGTTTTCTCATGGGGTTTTGTAGAGGAGCATTATCCTGCATAAAAATGAGCTTGCCTGGGGTAGATTTACACCCTTTCAGCAGAAAGGAAACAGACAAGACTCTAACATTCTCTTGTACTGCCTGTTCTTGAGGGTCTTTCAATAGGTTTCAAAACCAGTTCCATTCTATCGGGGAAAACCCTCCACCCTGACTTTTGACTTCTCTCTCCGACCGAGCAGTGTCATCATCGCATTAGCTGCATCCATAGCTAGTTGAGAGATTCCCTATTGAGCCTGAAACTCAATCCAGACCTCAAGTGGAATTCCTATATACGATCCATCACTAATGATTCTGTAAAAAAGGGCGCTTCCCCGTACTATTTCAATAAGGACTTTGTCTCCTCGTACTAATTCTACATGATCTAGACCAGAGCATATTTGGACAGGAGATGACCAATCTTCATTTTACCTTCGATAGTATCCAGACGTGTCTCCGCGTCCTTGTGAGTGACAAATTATTTTCCACCCTACAATCGCTCTCTCACAGACGAAGCCTGTCACTGCACAATCGCTATTTCCATGGAAAATGTTCAGACGAACTGCATTCCTTAGTTCCACTATATCTAACCTTCACGGTTGGGACCCGCTATATTATGCGAATAGTAGCACCCCCCCAGTCCTTTTGTATTCCAAAGTTCCACCCAAGCAGCTGCTCTGCGTAAACGACTCCCGAGAGGATGTTTTCCCGATCCCCACGATCTTAACCTGTTCAAGTCTAAGGTTAACCGTTATCTTCCTCACATACCCGCAGAAACTGTGCCTCTTACTCTGTACCACTTTACCTCGAGTGGCTCCATGGCTTTTTATAGGGTGAACCTCACTGTTAAAAAATGTTCTTTTTTCTAATTTTGTTCAGCGTGTCGTCAACCTCCTCATCAAGAAAGCATGGTGGTGGGGGGACCAGTTTAGGCGCCGATGACTTCGACAATGCAGGAGGGTGTACTGGAGTTCATGGTGTCAGGTGCAGTGGTAGATATAAAACCGTACTTTCCCGTTAGTAAGGCTGATTCGTAGTGATATTAAATTCAGGCCGAACAACCAGTTTTCGATTATAATCCAAATAAAACTGGCTGGTAACATTCAATATCTCACTAACTAAAACTAAAAAACGTTTCAACATCAACGAGAAGAGCGACAGAACTAATTTCAACTCGAGGGTAATTTGCAGTTCAAGCCCCACGCTCAGTTTCTAATAGAAAATTCCCGAATAGTTCCATTTAGGTGTAAATATACATCCTTAATTCGAAAATAACAAAGAAATTTGGATAAAATCTACCGTTTTGGAGTTATCGACACTAAAAGTTCAGACTCATTTGCGTCTGAGTGGGTGAAGTCGAAATTAATTCTGAACTCCAATGAGAAGACCTTGAATTTTCGCTAATGACGATGGACGTTTGTATTTTTAAGGCCGCTTCTTGCCTTGGAAAACTCTTAGGATTCATGTTTAACCCAGACCTCAAGTGGAACTCATATATATATATATATATATATATATATATATATATATATATATATATATATATATATATATATATATGAACCACAGCTAAAATGACTGGACAAATGGTAGGTTCCCCAGCCCTCTCTAGAACCAGACTTCTCTTTTCCCCACCCTCTCTTCTTGCACCTTTTTCTTCCTTTTCGTTTTTTTTTTCATACACCTCCTACTTCATTATTTTCCTTATTCCTTTCTCTCCTCATCCTTTCCTCTTCTTTTCTTCTTCTTTCCTCTTCTTATATTCCCATTTTTTCTTCTTCTTTCTTTGCCCTTTTTAATCTTCCATCTTCTTCCTTAATCTTTAGCTTATCCTTTCTCTCAATTTTTTTTTCTTCTTCTACCTTCTCTTCTTTTTTCTTTTTCTTCCTCTTCTTTCTCCTTCGGTTCCATCTCCTTCGTCATTCTCTTCACTCGTCTTCTTGAATTTACTTCTTCATCTTTCTTTTTCCTTCTTTCTATTTATTCTTCTATCTTCCTTTTTTCCTTCACCTTTTTTATCCTTCATTATCTTCTTTTTTTCTTCTTCACCTTTCTTCTTCTTCCGTTTTCTTCACCATCTTTCTTTTCCTTCTTCCTTTTTCTTCTTCTTCTTCTTCTTCTTCCCTTTTCCTCTTCATCTTTTTCTTTTTTCTTAGCTTTCTTCTTTCTGCCACAATTTCCTTCACCCTTTTTCTTTTTCATTCTCTGCCTTTTTCTTGTTGTTCTTCTTTCCTTTCTTCTTCTTTCTTTTTCTTCTTCCTCTTCTTTCTTCTTTCTCCCTCTTTTGCTTCTCCCTTTTTCTTTTTCATTCTCTTCTTTTTCTTCTTCATCTTTCTTTTTTCTTCATTCTATTTATTCTTCTGCCTCCCTCTTTTCCTTCTCTCTCATTTTCTCCTTTTTCTTCTTCACCTTTCTTCTTCCTTTTTCTTCTTCATCTTTCTTTTTTCTTCTTTCGCTTTGTTTTCCTTCTCCCTTTTTCTTATTCACCTTTCTTCTTCTTCTTCTTTTTCTTCTTCTTCCTCAATCTTTAGCTTCTTCTTTCTCCCTATTTTCCTTTCCTTCTTGTTCAGCATTCTTTTCACTTTTCTTCTTCATTTCTTTTTTTCTTTTTTCTCCTTCCTGTCCCATCTCCTTCTTCATTCCCTTCTCTTCTTCTTCTTCTTCTTCTTTCTCTTCCTTTTTTCTTCATCTTTCTTTTTCTTTTTCCTTCGTCATTTTTTTCTTTCCTTTTCCTTTTCCTCTTCATCTTTTTCTCCTTTCTATTTATTCTTCTACCTCTCTTTTTTCCTTCTCCCTTTTTCTTCTTCATCCTCTTCTTTTATCTTCTTCACCTTTCTTCTTCCTTGTTCTTCTTCTCCTTCCTTTTTTATTCTTTCTCTTCACTCTTCTTTCTCCCTAATTTCCTTCTCCCTTTTTTTTCATTCATTCATTCATTCATTCTTCTTCTTCTTCTTCTTCTTCTTCTTCATTTCAGAAAAGAAAAAAAAACTAGTCTATCCTAGATTAAAATATATCGACACGAGACGCTGGGTAGAAAGACTCACGTTACCATTGATACTGAAAATAATCCAGCATGTCGGGAGGCAGCTGGCAAAATCCTTGAAGGATACTGAAGCCGTTGTGACCCAAGCAAACTTAACCCTACCCATGCCTCTGTCTGTCTATTCTAACCAATCTATTATGTCTGAGGCACAACAAACAATCTTTGTTTAAGCCATTTTTTTAGACTTTTCTAAGTCAATCAACTAGGACAACAGTAATGTCGTGTAAATCAGTTTGGCAATTGTTTGACAGGTTTTGGCAAACGTGACCGATAAGTTCACGAATGAAATCAAATTTCAGATCTCTATTTCGCCGGCCATTTTGACGTATGGAGGTCGGAATTCGGTGTCAAATAAAATTAGAAAATGTCATAGTGAAAAAAAAAAGGGATGAATAAAAAAAATACAATTACGGAAGCATTTTAAAAATATATTTGGACAAAAGATATAATTAGCCTATTATATGGAAAATACAATGCAAAAATAACGTATTATGCGTATTATGCATTAAAAAGTCGATCACGTGTTTAACTCTATTCTTGATTACTGGACAAAAATTCAAGCAGATATGTCTCGTGTTGAGGTCGACATCTACTTTCTTTAACTCAAATCCAATGTTGGAATAATTTAGTTTTCAGCAAACATGAAATGGAAAGAGTATATTGAATCAATTTCTAAGTCTGCAGTTAAGAATGTTGGTTCACTGTGTCGTGTTTGGTAATTTTTCTCACGAGAATCTAATTTGTATATTTATTAGTCTCCCATTAGCGATTGCTTTGAATGGTTCTGCCACATCTGCAATGGTATTGATCCTGACCTGGCATCTCAGCTTCAGACAGTTTCCTACAGCTGTAAAGTAGCTTCTCCGTGCCTTTTCTATAAATATTTTCATGGTAATTATTCTGATGAACTTTCCTCAATGATACCTAGACATTATGAATTTAAGCGCATTACTAGATTGGCGGTTAGGTCTCATCATTTTTCTCTTAAAATAGTTGTATGTAACCGCAGGTGGAATATCATTACGTTATTGTTACATTCATAATAGTGAAATCATTAAGTTTCTTTGTCAAAAGTATTTTATTTATGGGGGAGGGGGGAAGAAGTGATCAAAAATAAAAAGCGACATAACACTATAAACGCTAAAAGAAATAAAACTGAAAATACATTATCAAACTAATCTACATTATAGGACAAATGTAAGGGGGGGTCCACTCTCTGGATTTAATAATTACTAAGTTTCATGCCTTCTTTGATTTAATTGACTCCTATTAAGTTAGGATGCAAAAATTATTTAACTTATTAGTGTATGGAGTCGAATTTTTTAGATAAGCTGTGGGGGGGGGGTATATAAAAGCTTGATATTAGCCAGCATGGCTGAGTAAGTAAAATGTGCTTACATTTTAAGGAAACTATGTAGTAATGGGTTAATTTCATTATTATTATTGCATATAGGATAAAAGCCTTCAGGAAGAGAAAGTCTCTTTGCCCTGGAGTGTGCTATGAAATTAGTTTTCAAAAAGGCATGAAACCTTCAATTTCTAGGCGTTCGGCTGAGGAGGGGCGTATTCAACAAAAAATCGGTTGATGTGTGTGTGTACATGTTTCTGTGTGTGTCTGTGTATGTGTATGTATGTGTGTCTAAAAATTCGGATACATATATCTGTGAAGGCAATATAAATAAAAGAGAATAGGAAAACCTTTTATGTCGACGCGTTTCGTTCCTTGAGAAACTTTATCAAGGCAGGTATAGAAATTTTATTTCGTAACCTGTATTTTTAAGCAGAAGTAACTTGGAGAAAAAAATGGCGTAAGGTTTTCAAATTTTGAATTTAGGGAACGCTCAAACATATCCTAAAATCTTACTGCGATAGAAAAGCTAAACTATGGACGACACTAAGTGACGTAATTTTTCTGTACATTAAAGGTTTTATGTTTTTCCTATTGTCTAACCTTGTGTGTGTAGGGGGGGGCTTTCTTTATAACCTTATATTCAGTCAGTTATGTACCATGAGTGATACAGGCTTAGACAATTGACGAGGCAGATTTCTTCCCGCAGTAGGTTGACATTTCTTGCGGTAGACCAGTTGCCATCCAAGGCTATAGAACCCGGTCTGGCTTGCTATTTGGAGAAGAAGAGGATTCATGCCTTTCCCAAGAGTATTAGAACGTAAGTGAATGTAAGTAACTCGAGTGGAATTCGAACTCGGCACTCCGATTACTCAACCCGAGCCATTACTCCACCGTGACTACTATGTCAATTTACACCAAAATATACCTTCTTTCAATAAAGATAATCTATATTTGCATTTACTTATACATTTAAGTCAATTAGTAAATAATATTATTTTAAGTCAGTATTTTCTGTGGTTAGAATCTATATCTATAAACCAGAAGATGTCTGTATGTGTGTCTGCTATTTATGCCCGTCCACATTTCTTGACTGATTTCGATGAAATTGTACACATATGTTGCAAATTTACCCAGAGAGGTCAAAACTAACTTTTTAATCTCCAGCACCCCACGCCCGGGTTTAGCAGAAAAATCGATAAAGCTGAAGGCGGCTTTCGACGTTTTGCAAAAAAACAAGGCAAAGTTACACGCGAACAAATTTTTTACTGGATGAGCCGATGTACTTTGCACTTAATGCAAAATATCAGCTCATGTTACGAGAATTATGTAGAGTGCTTCGATAGTTTTCCTGTGACATTGGCTTCATACAAAAAATTGCAAAAACTGAAAAAATCGGGTTTTTCGTACTACTTAAAATAAAAAATTGAACAATTTCCTCATTTTTTATCCGATTTTCTTCAAACATGTCACAAAAAATTTACCGTGATGTAAGAAATATGATTTTTTTGGTTTAGTCCTGCTCGCTTTCCCGCGTATAGAAAAAAAAAAACAAAAAAAAACAAACAAAAAAACCCCACAAACAAGCCGGTTTTTCAGCCATAACTCTCAGGTTTTTCATCCGATGCTTTCCAAATTTGCCATGCCAATTATATATGACGCACAAATTGCCTTACGTGAATGTTTTGGTTTAGATTATTTCAGTTAGTGGACGAAATCAGCAACAAACTAGGTCTAAAATCAGCTTTTGCCACTAAGCCAATAGTTTCTTTATATGATTCCATCCTAAATTGGCATTCAAACAACCTTTCATGCAAAGGTTGTTTGAGAAGGATTATTGAAGCGTTAAAAGAAAAAAATTCCCAAAGAACAACTTATTAATCCACATTTGCAGTAAACGTGCGAAGAAGGAGGGGGTGTTCAAACGTTTGCGCTTGCAGTTGAATCAAGCTCTGATACTCCATCCTTGTTTTTGTTTGATTATTAGATTTGTAAACAATGCCGTACTATCTAAAAGTTATTACGGCCATAGGAAATTTACTGAATATCTAAAACATTGAAACAATTTAACCCCGAGCAACGACCACACAAGAAGGTTTTATCGATGGGATTCTTTTATTAAGAACAATCAAATATTTGCGAAGGACATACCGTAAAAAGATGATAGGCAGTAGCTTAGTATAGCAACGGATGATACCTGCTAGCGGCGGGTATCTCCACTAGTTTCCAATAAAAGAACGTTTTATATTAAGATAGTCTTGTGATAACTTGAAGTGAACGGAGGGTTACAGAGTAAGATGCTGCTTATGGATATGTGGGGAAGATAATGATTAACGCTAGACTTGAACAGGTTAAGATTGTCGTGATAAGGAAGCATCCTCTTGGGAGTCAGTTCTATAAAGTAGAGGGAAGAAGATGCTCAAGTGGAACTTACATCTCACCAGTGGAATACGAAAAGAAATGAGGGGTGGTTCGCTACCATGGGCGTGGTATAGCAGGTCCTAGCCGTGAATGTTAGACCGGGGGAAACTAAGTGGTGTAGTTGGTCTGAATGCTTTCTATGGAAATAGGTATAGATCAGCGAAAGGCCCCATTACACAAACAGGCTGTTCAGTTATAGAGCTTCAACTATTCAACTTTACACATACACTCACATCCCATACGACTTCCTTTCTCCAGAAATCGACTGAAAGTTTTTTTTCCCATCAAATGTATCCATTTTGTTTCATGCCGTCTTCAAAGTCTTGAGGTTAAAACACTATGAAACTATAAAAATACATTTTCGTTGTAAAAATACCAGCAATAAATTTTTGTAGATGAAATTACTAATGCTCTCAAGAATATTAAATTCCGTCATTAAATGACCCATAAGGAGTTGATATGCCATTAAACAAACAAACGCATTTTTAAAGTCGAACTTAAAAGATTTGTATTATGCATTTGTTAAAATTGCTACTTTATTTGAATCCATAACTTTTGTTTTCCAACGTCTTGTGTAAGACGATAAACTACATTCGCGTCCTGGGTATGACGATAAACTACATCCGCGTCCTGGGTATGACGATAAACTACATCCGCGTTCTGGGTATGACGATAAACTACATCCAACAGGAAAGACCTCTGATCAGTAGCTTTTGAGGAGTGTGGAACCATCTCTTAATTGCTGTTGTTCCCAGGTCCACCCTGACCTGGTGTGGTAGCACCTCTTTGGGTCCTAACTATGAGCAAATAGTTAATCCCCAAACTGAGGCCCATACACTATGAAAGTGTAAAAATAGGTTTTAATACCAGCAATAGATTTTTGTAAAAAATATATTACTAGCAACATATCTTTGAAGGAAAAATATTACCAACAATACATTTTGGAACAAAATATTACCAGCAATAAAAATCACTGAGGTTGATATGTCGTAAAACAAAACAAAACAATTCTTTTATTTCGTGCATATTTTCCTTGATTATTTTGATTTTAATTTCAAACATTTGATGTGACAATGATTTGAAAAGG